TAGCTCAGTTGGTAGAGCGTTAGACTTTTAATCTAACGGTCAGGGGTTCGAGTCCCCTACGGGGCTGACACTTTTGCAAACAGGGATCAGTCTCAAAAGGATGTACGACAATTACGGAACTTTGTTGATATAGGACATTCATATAAAAACCTGCATTAATACATTTCAAATAAAATTACGAGGTTCAAAAGTTCAAAAATTGCTCGACTACAAGCAAACCGCCTATCCTAGAGGGTCTCTAACAGAAAATTAGGCCAACTTTAGCAATTTTTTAATGTCAGGTTGTAATTGAAACGAGAATATTTAATATGCAAAGGGAAACCCCACCTTCAATTGCTCCTCTGTGCAATCATAATGAACATTTCTCACGAACAGTTTCGTTTTTTCAAGACCAGTAGCGTACTTGAAGCCAACGCGCTTTTCGGGATCGCTAACAGAGATCTATAGAAAAAAAAGAGATAAAACATAATTACCGACGATGAAGATAACGCATCACAAACCAGCATCGGCCTTCCATTAAGAGGCATTCGATCATTCGCAAGTGCTCTGCGATAATTCTCCTCGGAATCCATATCAACAAAGCCATATCCCTTCGTAAGTTTGCTCATACCACGATAGACTAACCGTACTTCAACTGCACCTTCCAAAACCTTTCAAAAGAATTATCTGAGAAATTCCTTTACAAAATGCTAAAGTGAACTACTACCTACCTCCTGGACTTGTTCAGGAGTTGTTTTGAAATCAAGATTTGAGACAAACAATGTAAATTTCTTTTCATTTGTGCTAGTTGCAGATGACTCAGCGGGTTGATCAGCTGAATTCGACGCCGAGGACGTTGGATTGACCGCCTGAACTGAGAGGTCCTGCATCTACAATTGAATTGTGAGCTATTAGTTGATAAACCAAAAAAAAAAAAACGGTTTGACAGGAACTGCAAATTAGCAGTTTTTCGAAAAAAAGTACAGCAAAAAAAAAACCGGAAAAAAGCCCATCTAAGAAGCTGAAACATGCTACTTTACTAGAGTAAAAGGTGAAGGAGAAATGATGAGTAAGCATTTGATGAGATACCAAGCAAACGTTGGAATTTCCATAATATGCGCCATTACTCACAGGACCGTTCAAAAAATAGCCGGGAATATCAAAATTCCATTAATTGTTCAACACATTTTCTATACGAAACCATGAAGAGGAGGAGTTGAAGAGAACGAACAGACAGCTACAAATGGCAATGCGAGAAGAAAGCGTTTTAGACATGATGACTCAAAATTCGTTTTTATTTTGCAAACCACGTCCAGATAAAACAAATAAATCAAGACAAAAATGGCAAAGATGGCCCACCTTTTTAACGGGTAACATAGGCATGATGAAACCGTCCTTATCCTTTGATGGAGTTCGCTGTACTGGAGCCGGTTCATCTGCAGGAGTGGACACCACCTTAAAAGAAAGATGCCGAGGTTTCAGAAATTGAAAAAATAAAAGCAGCAAAAAGTGCAGATACAGAACACAGCATAAATTGCGATGATGTGAAATTAAGATTAAAGATCCAAAGCATGTAAAATAAAAGCACCTGTTTTTTGACTGGAGGGCTTTCATCCGGCTCCTGACCAGGTCTCTTACGAGGAAACGGTTTAGAATCCCCTGCTTTAGCAGAACCACGTTTCTAAAAAGATTTCAAGCGAATAAGTTGAACAATTATAAGCTTGAGATCAACCTCTTTTGCGTGATCCTTTTTAGCCGATGACTCTTCCTTTGGCTTCTGCGATTGTTGCCGGCTCGCACGATGTGCAGCTTGGGCATTCACCTGCAAGACGGGAGATGATTTCGAACATTGAAAACATATCGTCAAAAACTGGAAAATTAGTTAAAAGTAGTGAAGATGCTAACAGTGGGAGACAAGTTGGAGCACAGATGATAGATTAAGAAATGAAAACCTTCTCAAGCGCTTTGTCAAGTTGCTCTAGTGTACCTTCTTCACGCTCAAATTGAATAAAATATTCAAACACCACAGTGGGGTGATCCGAAACAGAGTTGAGAGCCTGAAGATTGAATGGTA